ACCACAATTTCAGGCTAAGTCAAACTTGTTGCCATGGAAACGCCAAAAATATTTTATTCAGAATTCCAAAACTACCAAAAGGCACCAGTACACCACCAGATCTATCTATGTGCCAAGTTTGGTGAAGAAATATTGAACGGTTTTAGAGTTCTGCTCCGGAAAAGAGCACTACCACCAATTTCAGTCTAAGTCAAACTTGTTGCCATGGAAACGCCAAAATATTTTATTCAGAATTCCAAAACTACCAAAGGCACCAGTACACCACCAGATCTATCTATGTGCCAACTTTGGTGGAGAAATATTGAACGGTTTTAGAGTTCTGCTCCGGAAAAGAGCACTACCACCAATTTCAGTCAAAGTCAAACTTGTTGCCATGGAAACGCCAAAAATATTTTATTCAGAATTCCAAAACTACCAAAAGGCACCAGTACACCACCAGATCCATGTATGTGCCAAGTTTGGTGAAGAAATATTGAACGGTTTTAGAGTTCTGCTCCGGAAAAGACAAATGTGCAACGGACGGACGGACGGATAGACGAATGTTTTAATACCCCCAGCAAAACGCGTTGCGGGGGATAATAAATGTTATGGTTCCGATTTCCTACATTTCAGAACTAGGGTAGGTAGGTAGGGTTTGGTTTTTTTTGGCAAAATATTTTTACATTACTCATGTGTCAGAAAATGAATTTAATTTATTATGTGGTGAGTAAAATTGTTAGGCTCGGCGGGAATATTTAGGGTCGGTCGGGAAATCGGAACCACAAGTTTTTTTTTAGGCCTAAAGTGACTGAAATACGCACATATTTGAAAGCAGTGGGTAACGGAAAATGAAATACCCACTCAACATTCATAATACCCACTCCCAAAAAATACAGTGGGTAGGAAACCCACATGAGCTAAATCTTATCTGGAGCTCTGTATTCAGTGTGACATGCACTTCACTTTAACAGTACCAACAGCACCAGAGACTTTAATGCTTAGTTTCAAATTATTGCATAGAATATGCTGAATGTAGATACCAATCCCTGTATCATATCTGTGATTTTTCAATTGGGATGAAGTAGAACAAGTGTTTGCCACTGATATGGCAATGTCCCCCCGCCGCTAAAGGAAGGAATATCTATAACATAGTTACTACTTTTTATTTTTTGGTCACATACAAGATGCCTGAAATGACTGCTGTCTGCATAATCACCCAATGTAGGCTGTCGACATAAATGAAAACATTGGGATGTTTTATGAGATATCATGTTTAAATAAGTTTGAAAGGTGGTCAAAGTGTTGTGGTGACCTTGAAGATAAGGTCAAGGTCACCCAAATTGAGTGGTGGCTGGACCCGTAATCCCCCAATGTAGGTTGTCACCAAATGTGAAGACACTGGGTACAACAGTTCATGAGATATCACGATAACAAGAATTTGAAAAGTGGTCAAAGTGTCGTGATGGCCTTGAAGATAAGGTCAAGCTCACCCAAATCGACTGGTGGCGGGGTAATCCCCCAATGTAGGCTGTCGCCACATTTGAAGACATTGGGTACCACAGTTTATGAGATATCACATTAACAAGAGTTTGAAAAGTGGTCAAAGTGTTGTGTTGACCTTGAAGATAAAGTCAAGGTCACTCAAATCGACTGGTGTCTGGATAATCCCCCAAAGAAGGCTGTCACCAAATGTGAAGACATTGGGTACAACTGTTCATGAGATATCACGTTAACAAGAGTTTGAAAAGTGGTCAAAGTGTTGTGGTCACCTTGATCTGTGTGTCAGCTTCTTCATGACTGCACGGTGCCACCCAGCCTCTTTCACAATGATTAAGATTCAGTATATAATAAGGCTGTAACGATTCACTCGCATATTCGAGAATCGAACCGTAGCCCTTCATGAATTCAATTCGTTATTCGTGGTCACCAGAACCGAATATTAACGAATATTTTCGATTTTTTTAAGGGAGCATGTTTTACTTGAACCCTTTTGTCCTTTCCAAAGTGAGATATGCAAGAATGGAACATGTACTAGCATTGCAGTAGTGCAAGTCATTTTAGTTAGCCAAGACTGCACATGGTACTGTCGATTATAACTATTACATACCAAATTTGAGTGTCATCAGATCACTGGTTATTGCTGTGACAAATTAACACTGTCAACATGTCCGTTCCATACTGTACATCAATCACTTAACTACAATATTGTATTCGTGAATAATTATTCGTATTCGTTATCCAATATTCATGATACGCATCATATTCGCCACATAGTGTATTCATTGCAGCCCTAGTATATAACAAGTTATTCTGATGTAAAAACATCCAAAACTGTTCAGGAACCACTTTACCCCGATTCTCTAGTATTTCCTGATTGGCTGTATATAGCAGAACCTGCAAAGTGTCTCCACGTTTCATGTTTCTCCTCTACAACATCCTATCTATTATCATGATTATATCTGGAAACAAATGATTTGGCACTGTGAATGCAAAATGGCAGAAAATATGGACTTATGAAATAAAAGTACTGTATCGGGATATAAATCATATTGCACCTGTATTATCACAATATGTATCATATAGCAGCCTCTACTGAGGACTAGTGAAACAAAGTTCAAACCTTAGAGTGAGTGAGTTCAGCTTTATGCCACACTCAGCAATATTCCAGCTATATGGCGCTGATCTGTAAATAATCAGGTCTGGACCAGACAATCCAGTGATCAACATCATGAGCATCAATCTATGCATTTGGGATACGATGACAAGTGTCAACCAAGTCAGCGAGCCTCTCCACCCGAATTCCGTTAGTCAACTCCTACAACAAGCATGGGTTACTGAAGACCAACTCTAGCCCTGATCTTCACAGTTCTCAAACTTTGGAATAAAACAGATTCTTAGATTTATGGTATCATTGTCATGATAATCTGAACGATATGATCAAATGGATCAATGTGAACTGGCAAGTTCTGATTATGGTAAATGAGAGAGTTTAGTTTTACGCCGCTTTTAGCAATAATCCAACAATATCATTTCGAGGGACACCAGAAATGGGCTTAAGACATTGTACCCATGTGGGGAATAGAAGTCAGGTCTTAGGTGTGACTAGCAAACACTTTCCCCACTAGGATACCCCACCATTCAGTTCTGATTGTAAGTTCGTTATAAAAATGAAACAGGATGCAGAGCTGGAGCTGAAGATCAGTATAATTCCAACTCGGAAGTACTCATCATGCACAAGAACTTAAATTATAAAATGAAATATTTAATATACAAACTTCAATGTTAGTGTAATCTTAAAGATGTAACAACATTTGTAACAAAGTTCAGTGAAAATAGAATGTTTACTAATGCATTAAGGATTTGAAGCTACCCCTTTTTCTTCCTTCATTATGTGGTACATCATATCTATTTATAGCAGTTATAGTGGCGATTGGTTCATGTGGACTGTCTCCCAGAAGCTAGAATAAATATATATATTAAAAAACAGTATCCAACTCTACAATTTCACTGGCAATTTATAAGTTGGTGAGTAAATGGGAAAACATACAACTTCATGGATAACAATATCTGGTTATACCATTTAGCTATGTTTCAGCGTAGCTAACATTATTATAAAGCAGGAGTTACTGTAAAAATCTACATCGAAATGACTTTCAAATGCAGTATTCAAGAGGCTGCTATCTGTATGTAAGCTTTACTGCAATAAATCCTCTCTGAATCGAAAATGGTACATATCGCGAATATAGAGTATAAATTCAGTAAAATAATAACCAAATATCTATGTGACATCTTTTGACCACGTTGACTGTTAATTTATCACGACAATGACCATATTACTATCAAATTGAATATATAAGAGCGCTGGCTATTGTCCTTGGATACATTTCATTTTGCATACCTTTCTCGTTTTTGATAAATTACACCAAACTGAAAAAACCCACTCCTTTCAAAACAATCATGAATATTGGATTTTAGTGATCACGAATAACAAACTGAATTCATGAAGGGATAATGTTCATTTTACCGGATACGCGAGTGAACCACACCTGCCCTATTTCTTATCCAATCCACCTCGAGTCTTGAATGATTCTTTAGCAAGTTGAGTGAATGAGTATAGTTTCACACTGTTTTTTTCAATGATCCAGCCATCATGGGCTTCAGACATTGCATAAATGTGGGAATCGAACCAGGGTCTTCAGCATGACAAACACTTCAACCACTGGGATACCCCACCAACCTGCCTCTCTCTCTCTATGGGCTCCATCATGATATTATTCTTTATATTGTGGATATATAGCTTTGATTCAGATAACTCTATTTCTGAGAAAGAATGTTAGTCTAACTCTAAGGCCCAGAGTAAATAACAGACTGTATCTATATGGTATACAGGTTCAATTAAATTAACAGATAATAGTTATCATGGATAATGCACTTGCCTGTGCCAAAACCTCTACTAACACACGCTTGACTCTGGCATAATAATTCTACAGACTTTTAATTAAGTTGCAATCAGCATTTTGCTTTTTAGTCATTTTACTGCAGAGATCTATCAAGTCCTCTCTCAACTTCCCTGTACATCGAGCAAGGAATCACTTATGCTTTTATTTCCCACTGCAATATTAAAAGCATCAAATACGACAACTATCTGGTAAGCTGTCACATGGTTGTGTGTAGTTAAATATAATGTAATACGTGCTGTATCGCTTTCATCACTGAGAAATGTTGATTTATTGATAGCGATGTAGACAGCAGACGACATAATCTGACCTCAAAATCTTATCTTTAGTCATTCAAGTGATGCACATGGATCAGAGTCTGTGTCAGTTTAAAGCAAAGTCAGTGATGATTATATGCGCTTGTTCGATTATGCCTGTGATTCCACCCGTTTGGCGTTGTGTATATGTGCATAATCAAGGTGGCGGCCATTTTGGAAGCGATTAAACCAAACATGCTACGAATGCGAGGGAAAAATAACGACTTTGTATAAAACAACAGCTTGGGGTACGGGGACAGTCACCTACCTGTAGTTAATGGAAGAAAAGACAAAAGTAGGATTCCAAATAAATTCATGATTCTCGCGTATGATTCTGGTTGTCACATTTGTACGTATCCACCGGCCTTTATCTCACAACAGTACAATAACAACCGCTTCGCAGTGACCTATATTTATACCGTTGCAGACACAAATAGTTCGGCGAAGAAATAGTACTTTATTGAGTTATTTATCACAAACAGATATCAAATATATTATTCGTTATGAACAGTTCGCTATGCAATATATTGACACCCCTGTTTTGTGCAAATATGATGGTTTTGGAATTAGCTGACAAACCATTCCTGCTCTCGTGCGAGAGCGTAGGAATACATTTACCGACAACAACAGGGTCAAACGAAAGAAAGACACATCGGGTTAATTGTTTTTATTATGCTGCAAGAGAAAGCAACAAATATGTTTGTTTTATCCGAGCAACGCATTTTTCTTTGTCCGTTGCTTTTAATAAAACATTGTTGGTCATCTTGTTCACACATCGCCATTTTTCACACGTTAGACCTCGTTGGGTTTGTTTTTATTTTTCTGGAACCGCAAACATAAATTGTTTATAATATAGAATATGTTTTGTAGTTTAGGTTTTCATTAACTTTCGATTCTTTAAATACATGTAAAGTTTCATTTATTTTAATCACATGTACCTATTATTAACAAAATTGTTTTTTTCATATCAGGTTTGAACATAAAATCAACTGAACTGAATTCACGTTTGAACTCATTTATTCGATATGAAATTTACCCCTGAAAATGGTTACACAGATAAGTGTTTTCTTGTTGTTTGTTTTTTATTGTATGTTCTCTCGATCGGTACAGTTCTGATGAACTGCAGACCGACACGAGATCCAGCTGCATTTTATCATTTACATACATAAAAGGAATGAATCGACATATTGATCAAAGCTGTGGAAATCAGTGGTTGATTTGTGTGTCCTTTCTATGATAGTTCAGTACAATAAAGGCAAGATATCTTTTGCATGACAATTTCTTTATTCGAAATCGATGCTGGGTTTCGGCATAGACCCTAGTCTGTCTCACAGTCAATGAACCACATTAATTATTTCCCATACTGCCTAGTCCTCCTAGACTAATGCTTAGTCTCTGAATATATATAATGTTGATAGTAACAAACAAGCCCATTTAAATTGAAAAGGAGCCCCAGGGAGACCAGAGATTCCTGAATCCTGAGGAAATCTAGACTTTAGGGCTTTACCACTGCAGATAGGGTTTGGCAGTACGGAAAATAATGTGGTTCAGGGACTATAGTCCTCCCTGCAATGCTAAAGGCCTAAATGAAGCAAGTCTAGATTTCCTCATGTTCAGGATCTCCTAGACTAACAGTAACAACTAAAGTCTCTGAAATGAACATATTTTACAGAAAGCAAAGTTCATAGTAAAAATATATATATATATATAATGAAATGGAGCCCTGAGACTTTCTTCATTATCAGAAGCTGTGGAAATCTAGACTTGCCAAATTTTCTAGACTTGCTTTGGCTTTCTTGGATACATTTGCTTCAGGGACTCCTTTTCAATTTAATTGGGCTTATTTGTTACTGTACTAAACATTAGTCAGACCCTTGTACCGCTGTCTGTTGATTTAGGACATGTGTCGGCGGAAAGAACGTCCCTGTTTTATTGTTACTCATCGTCGTATAAAACGGAACAGATCATAGTTCAATAAACTTTGAGGCAATACCCGGACTGTCCGCAATACACACAAGGAATTGCAGTGTTAATCACCTTACCACCAATTAGCTTCCTTACGTGAGGTGGTGAGGTGAAATTGGGTTTATCGTCGTGCTTGAGAATATTTCGCTCATATGACGACGTGCATGCGTGTGTATGTGTATGTGCGGCTGCTTGTACTAGCCCAGACTGAAGCTGGTTTTATAGTGCTAGCCCACTGAGATACCATGCCGCAGTGAAGCATGAATACCCCACTCAGACACATTGTACTGACTCCGACCCGACCAGTCCTTGTTGTACCCATTAATACCGAGCGCCAGGCAGGGACCAACAAGTACCATATTTTAACGTCTTTTGGTATGACGCAGTCGGGGGTCGAACCCGCGGCCTTCCGCTCTCCGGGCGGACGCTCTAACCACTACACCACGGAGGCGGTAGCTTCCTTACGTATTGTATTGGAGTGGCTCTGTGTTAGACTTGCACAAGTCGCTAAGGTAATAATTAATAGCTTAAATGATAATATCTAAAATATACAACATCATCTATCAGACTTGCGCCCTTGTACTGTCCCCTTATCTAGACTTGCCTCTTTAAAGGTTACTGTGCATACACGGGCTTACCTTCAGTACAGCCTTGGAGCAAGGCTAGGCCTGTGTGTAGGGAACCATTGGGAGCATTTGTATGTGAGGGGGGTAATAAAGCATGGGTAGTTATACGTTGTCTGGTGAGGGTGGGGAGTGTGGGTATAGATCAAGTGTTAATGCACCATGATTTTATGTGATTTTATGTGACTATTGATGTAAACTACGTTTGCCTTTGTGTATTTTGTCATTTATGTAATATATATATATTGTATTGTATTTTATTGTATTTTATGGTGTCATAGGCCACTCTGTGACATTAATTTAGCACAGTGTACCTGTTATATGACCTGAATACTCGCATTCCGAATGTGTGACACATTAACAAAATATTTTCTGTCTTCTGTGTTAACGTGCGTGCGTGCGTGCGTGCGTGTGTGTGTGAAGAGGAAGGGAAAATATATAGCGGGGTAAGGAATTTTGGTAAAGGGGTGGAGAGAGTGCAATGTATTCCCATGTTTTGAAATTCTGAATGTAATTTGTGAGTAGTCGTTGTGGTCGCCACTGGACACGTGCCCACTGTATTAACATGGAATTCGTTTGATGGATAACCACGACACAGAATAATGTCCAACCAGGTCAACTGCTTCTGGTGGAGAGTAGGACACAAATAAAACCCTCGCTAGACTGCCTTTCTATCGTGTAAATTAAATGTGCTGCTATGAATATATACTACCCACATAAAGAAACTGTGCACACAGAAATTCCTTCAGAATTGGAATACAACACAGAAAAGACCACATGATGTAGACACTTTATAAGCTGAAGTATCGGGCCTCAACAACATTTCAAAAGAACATGAACAATATCCGTAACGATGACGTCAGAAGTTCAAAATTGAGTTGGGGGTCATACGTAGAAGTCACGAAGTCAATAACGGGTATGACCATCATGCACGTGAAGCACAGCAGTGCTTCGACGACGCATAGAGGCTACCAAATTTTCCAAATGAAGGCCTGGGGAATGGTTTGGGACGTGGTCACTGTCGTCTGGAACCTGTGTGTGGTATGAGTCACCCGAATCCATCTGTCCTGTCTTGGCGTCGTTACTCGGGGACGCCCAGAACGTGGGTGGTCAGCGACGTCATTACTGTTTCCCTAACGCCTGACCAATGCAGATTGGACATGTGCTGCCACCTGTTGTTGGCTCATGCCTGCTCGAACCATTCCAGTGGCTTCATGGCGTTGAGCACATGTTAATCTTGGCATGATGTGCATGTGACTTTTCATGTGAATTTGTGAACGTTTGAATGACCAAAGATCAAGCTTTCGACAGTGACATCAATTTCTGAGTTTCACATGTTGTGTGCAGCTGCACAGGATGCACGTGCAGTAACACATTGCAAGTCCATAGGCCACCATCAATGACGTCACGTCGCCTGGCACCTGCATGAGCGTTTGATTGTCTCCAATACTTGCTATGTTTACACCTTTATTTATGCATAAAGACGCTGTCTGCCTATCTTTATATTTTCTGTGTGCACAGTTTCTTTATGTGACAAGTATACTTGTACATCTTCCCTTTATGTTTCGTGTCAAGTTGGGGGTGGCGGGGTAGCCTAGTGGTTAAAGCGTTTGCTATTCACTCCGAAGACCAGGGTTCCATTCCCCACGTGAATACAATGTATGAAGTCCATTTCTGGTGTCCCGCCGTGATATTGCTGGGAAAGAGCCTAATTTATCTCTGGGTAAGGACGTGTTTCATTAGGGTTTCACCTTTCAAGCCATTGATAAACATTCAAAAGATTTTAAGGTTGACATGAGGAGGACACTTCCAAATTAGCCGCAGAAGTGATGATGCCCGATGTCATATCTCATCTTTACTTATATCATTTGCAGTATATTTTCCCCGAGTACTAATTAATTGACGTGTCTTTGCATGTGTTTGTGAAGAGTTTCCTGATGGGGTTGGAGACGCGAACCAGGTATCGTTACTATATGATTGTACAAGTGCTCCATATATATACAAATGTACTACCCATCAAAAGTTTGGACTCACTAGTGTAAATATAGCCACTTACTTCAGGCAACTGTTCTAAGCTAAATTTTGCAAAATATTCCATACTGTTTATAGGTACTGTTTACACATGAACTGATGTATTGTAAAACAAATTCTTAACGTTGAAAAGATTATTGTCATGAGTTCAATAAATGATAAAAATCAGTGAAAATTGGCGAATACATAACAAAACTTTACATCAAAACGCAGCTGTTCACATGCATGATATTTTCACATGCTTTTCAGCAATTTGATGCATGATCCTCGTGCAATTCATCTGCATAAAGTTTGCGGTTGGTTCCCTAAAGTTAGTGGAGAAACCAATCTTCGATGTAACCATATATATATACATAACATATAGTGAGTGTTTTAGTGAGTCTAAACTCTTGCGGACATTAAACAAACAATGTCAATTACACTGTGCGTGTCTATTTTCAACACTAAAATGTATATATTTGTGTATTTGTATGTCGTTGACCACCGTATTTAGAACCGAGTCCGATAAACATGTGGTGTTTGTGAAATACATAAATATGTATATAAGATCCCCGACACTATTTTCTAAATTGAGTTATACTTTACGCCACTTTTAACTGAATTGCAAAAGAGAAGACACCCACAAGCGCCAGTTTCCCATGACACTTCGCTTCCTCTTATGACTGACACCAGGACGCCAATTAGATGTGTTCTGTTCCAATTAGCGGCCTCATCAAGGATGACAACACACATCCCTACATCACCCATAAGCTGTAGTTTCCAATTAAGTTTATT